TTACCAAAAAGGGGGAGATTGAAAGCTCTAGTTTGGTTTTGCTGAATTGATGAAACCCTAAGTGTTAACCTAGTTTATCTAAGTGATCATGAGATAGGTAGCACTATTCCAAGTGATGAAGTAATGGTGAAGATCATGATGATGGTGATGCCATGGTGATGATCAAGTGCTTGAACTTGGAAAAGAAGAAAGAGAAAAACAAAAAGCTCAAGGCAAAGGTGAAATTGATAGGAGCTTTTTGGTTTAGTGATCGAGACACCTAGCGAGTGTGATCATATTTAGGATCGATAGCCGTACCATTAAGAGGGGTGAAACTCGTATCGAAATGCGGTTATCAAAGTGCCACTAGATGCTCTAACTCATTGCATATGTATTTAGGATCTAGTGGAGTGCTAACACCCTTGAAAATATTTGTGAAAATATGCTAACACACATGCACGAAGTGTTACACTTGGTGGTTGGCACATTTGATCAAGGGTGGTGAAGTTTGGGGTCAAAATGAGCTATTTCATATTGACCAGACTCTGCCTAGGGCAGTGACCGGACTCTGACCCTGCGTCCGGTCAGTGGTACAAAATGAAGGCCGCCCTCGGTCCTTTGACCGGACGCTGAGAAGAAATAGGACCGGACACGCTGGGGGTGCGTACAGTCAAGCTATGACGTACGCTGACGCAAGCATCAGAACTAGCCAATGAGGATCGGACCCTGAGCCACGTCCAGTCACTTGTGATCGGACACGTCCGGTCATGATTTTGCCTCTCTGGAACCTTACTGGAAATGACCGGACTCAGGCATAGCAGCGTCCAGTCATCCTCGCGGTGCGTGTCTGGTCGCAACTTAACCGTTGAGATCGAGCGCTCAGCATTTGAAGCCAGGGATGACGTGGTAGCCATCCGTTGACCGGACGCTGGCAGGGTGCGTCCGGTCGATCCGACCGGCGTGTCCGGTCGCCCCGATTTTCAGTGGACAGTGGAGCCCAACGGCTCTATTTGTGGGGGGCTCTCTATTTAAGCCCTATGGCTGGCTTTAGCTCACTCTCTTGGCCATTTGTATTGACATAGCAACCTAGTGAGCTTAGCCAAAGACCACTCATCTCCATCATTGATTCATCATCTTTGTGAGATTGGGAGAGAATCCAAGTGCATTGCTTGAGTGTTTGCATCTAGAGGCACTTGGTATTTGTGTGTCGCTGTGGGTTTGGCTTGTTACTCTTGGTGGTTGCTGCCACCTAGATGGCTTGGAGCAGCGAGGATCGTCGAGCGGAGGTTGGTGATTGTCTCCGGCTCCGATCATGGTGATTGTGAGGGGTTCTTGACCTTTTCCCAGTGGAGAGCCAAAACATTGCTCGTGGCTTATGTGATCCTCATCTTGTGTTGGTTGTGCGGCACCCTATTGAGGGTTTGACGTGTGATGCCAATTAGCGCGTGAACGTTCAAGTGAGTGAATTGCCACAACGGGGACTAGCTTGCCGGTAAGCAAGTGAACATTGGAGGAAAAATCATTGTGCCTTGATTGACTCCTTGGTATTCATTGGTATTCATTGATTGATCACTTGCCATGGCGGTATACCTCTCTACCACTCTCTTGTATTTCATTGTACATTCATTTGTATAGAGCTTGTGGTAGTCAAGACTAGATAGTGTAGTACTTATTTGTATCACTCTTGCTAGATTGATCACATAGGTGTAAATTAGAGACATAGCCTTGATGTGATATACTAGAGATCATAGAAAATAGAATTGGGTAGGTGGCTTGCAACCCCAAGTATAGTGCTAGTGCAAAATTCGCTTCGCCATCTTATTGACTAATCATTTGTCTTAGTGTTGTTGTAGAAATTTTTAATAGGCTATTCACCCCCTCTAGCCATTAGGATCTTTCAAACACATCTCAAGGTAGTCATCATAATTGATGTGGACCTTAGTTAATTCGCAAACGAATTGTGTACACACGTTGAGGATAGTCACTAAGTCGTGGACTTTGTGTAGATCCCGCAGTAGCAATTATGGTGCCACCTTGTGTATGGTCAATAGGAATACGAATTAATGGTAGTCATTTTTGTGAAAAGATGTATACCAAATGTTCTAATTTGTGATTTTGGGTACGCACGTTGAGAATATTCACTAAGCATTTACTTAGTGTAGATCCCACAATAGCAACTATGGTGCTACCTTGGGTATAGCCAACAAACAAATATAGAGCATGCATGTTATACATAAAATGAACAATTGCAAAATAAATAAATAAATTGCAAGATCATAGTCATTAGTAAAGGTACATGATAATTGGATTTGTCATTTTGGACAAATGCTTTGAACGGTACCAATTAATGGATATTTTACAATGGTAAAACATCACAAGTACAACTATAGTCAAAGTTAGGGACTTAAACACAAGAGTACATCAACACAGATCGAACTGTGCAATTTACAACATAGAATTACTATAGACTTAAATTAATCTAATGTGAATTCCTTGCTGAAATATAAAATAAAGTTAAATATCTGCTGATGGAGCCAATTGAGGTTGGAACTTAATCCAATTCTGAAATCGGGCCCCAAGGCAGCCATGTGTACGTGCATAGTAAGGTACTTGTTTATTGGATTTGTCATAGGACAAATACGTTAAACAGTACCACAAATGGACATTTTATGATGGTAAAATATCACAAGCATAATAATTGTTAAAGTCAACAACCTAAACAAACAATACTTAAACATAGAATAACTATGTAGTTTACTGCAGTGAATTACTGGAGACAAAAGCCCTGTTCGTTTGGCTTATAAGTCGTATTTTTTCAGCCAACGAATATTATTTTTCTCTCACAATAAATCAGTCAACAATACTTTTAGTCATAGTTTATCAGCCAAACGAACAGGAGAAATAGCCTTACGTGAATTCTTTGCAAATAAATAAAAAATAACTAGCAGGCTAGCCGGCCGTGAGGTCCATTTAGCAAGGATGATGTACGAGCATGCTGCATGACAGCCAAGCAAATCGATCGGATAAGAACGAGTGGCAGAAACTGCCAGGCTCGAAACCGTCGTTGCTCCTTCCTGCAGAGCCACCGCTGCCGCTGCCAGTAGAGCCGCTGTAGCCCGCCGACCTGTCGTTGCGGGAGCAGCCGGCTACCGCAGGTGCGGGGCCGTGGGCCACCATGCGCAAGGGGCGAGCGCAGGGACAGAGGGCGTGTCCTAGCCGTAGTAGCCAACAGCACGGTGGAACGGTCGAGGCAGTGAAAATTGTATTGAAAGGATTCGACAATAGCGTCGATCAAAGGTATTAAGGTCATTTAAGGGACTTAGGGTCTGTTTAGTTCTACTTTAAAATGTCAAATTTTTCAAGATTTTTCGTTACATCGAATCTTTGGACGTATGTATGAAGCATTAAATATAAATAAAAAATAAAACTAATTACATAGTTTAGACGAAATCCACGAGATGAATCTTTTAAGTCTAATTAGACTATGATTGGACACTAATTGTCAAATAACAACGAAAACTGCTACAATGTTATTTTGCCAAATTTTTCGGCATCCAAAAGGTGCCTTAGTTGTTCTTACCATCTTTTTCACCAACGAACAAAGCGTTGTTGTCGTCGGCGCGTTGAGATATTAGATCTGTAACAAGTTAGTAAGAATAAAACCAATCGATGGCTTACTGTTGTTGGTTCTTGTTTCTTGTAGAAACAAGACATCGATGAAGATCAATAGAGCCTCATGTGCATCCTTCGACCTTCTGGAACAGCAACTGCTTCTTCCCTTTCGAGAGAAGGCTGATTGAGAGCCATTCGTCCTTGGCCGGTGATGGTGAGAGGCATACGTGCCTCTGTTGTTCTACGTCTCTCCTGCTCTTGAGAGCAAAGTGCTGATAACATGCTAAAGCGTGAATATAAATGAATAAGATTGGAAGAAGTGTATCTTTTATTGATTGAAATATATTTATATAAGTGAAGGGGTGTCACGAAGGGGTACGACTGTTCCAAAAAGAACCACTGACCAAATATGACCGTTCCCAAAAGACATGTCTTTTAGGAGTAAAATTAACTGTTTAATCTTATCCATTAATCTTATGCTTGAATGGATAGGATCACTGGGTGAAAAGGCGTCTGTTGGTGAAGAGACATCGTTTCACAGCAGAGATCCAGAGGCAGAGAGCATACGCGAGTCGCTACCCGGTGGCCGGTGCCAGTCACCCGCAAAGGCGGCAACGAATCCTGGCAGTAGCACTCATCAGCAGGTCAATTGCAAAATTCCCACTGCAATTTCCCATGACACCCCAAAATCCCCACTGCAAATTCTTTTAGTGTAGGTTGTCATTTCACATGCTACCGTCGATACGAAGGGGTTATGTTGAACCAAAATGTCATTACGTAATTTTTTTTTTCACTTTGATATTTTAATTATGTTTGTTTTTCAGTTAACCGTCGAACTGAAAGAATCATACATATCATGCATTTTATTCTTTGCTTTTGTTATCTATCAGAACATGACCCACTGCGGCACTGCAGGTGATTTGGGGTAAACTACTGCTGAAATGCGTGATTTAGTTGTGATTTTACTAAAGACAGAGTGACTTTTGAAATTTACTCAAAATAAGACACCAATTTCAAAGCTAAAATACATGTATCCTTAATCTCAACAAACCCATAGCATCCTAAGACAAAACGCTGCTTTTGACATGCACACAATAGGACAGATGATCTTTAGTCCCTTGATAAAGTATGGTCGTAAATGCTCTCCTCCTCTAGAAGCCCCTAGGTTTTCCAAATTGGCATGCGTACACCCAGCTCCTCGTCTCCCTCTTTCATTTTTGCCCTATTTTCCTTAACAAATTCGGACCACGACAGTAATGTACACGCGGCGCAACCATACCCATGCGTCATCTGTGATCAACGGCCAGGATCTGACGACCGAGCTCCTCCACACATGCATGCATGTTCTTCCACTCCACCTGTGCGTGACGTGCCACTACGATGCAGCGACGGCGTGCGTGCGTGCGTGATCACGACGCGCCGCCGCCGCCGCTGCCGATCTCCTCCACCATCCACGCGGCCTCCGCGACGCTGGGCCGGCACTCGGGCTCGGGGCTGGCGCAGTGCACGCCGACCCGGAGCAGCCTGACGGCGGCGTCCCCGCCGGCGGCGGCGATGGCCGGGTCGACGAGCTCCCCCTCGCCGCCCTCGGCCACGGCCGTGGCAGCCCAGTGCACGACGTCGGTGCCGCCGCGCGCGCTGTGGAGGTACTGCGACGGGAACCGCCCCGTGACGAGCTCCAGGAGCACGACGCCGAGGCAGTAGACGTCGGAGCGCGCCGACACCACCCCGCGCGTGGTGCCCTCGGGCGACCGGAACGCGAACATGGCCTGCGGCGCCTGCGCCGCATTCACCAGCGGGAAGAAGCCGTAGTCCACCAGCCGGGGCTCCATGCCAGCGTCCAGGAGGATGTTCCCCGACTTGAGGTTCCCGTGCGGCGGCGGCGGCGGCGGCGCGTCGAAGTCCGCGCCGTCCATGCTCACCAGCCGCCCCGCCGGGATCCCCAGCCTCTCGTGGAGGAACGCCAGCCCGCGCACCACGCCGACGGCCACCCTCAGCCGTCCCTGCCAGTCCAGGATCAGCCTGTTCGGACTCTGGTCGCCTGCCAGGGTCGTTATTAAAGTTGATTAATTAGCTAGCTAGCTACTAATCACGATTGATTGATTAATTAGCTGCGCTAATTAACCAACCAGATGGTTAATTACCATGCAGGATGTAGAGGAGGCTGCCGCGGGGCATGTACTCGGAGACGATGAGCTTCTCCTCCTTGCGGTAATGGTAGCCGACGGGCGGGAGCACGTTGGGGTGGTGGAGCTCGCCGAGCATGTGCACGTGCTGCTCGAACTCCTCGCGCCCGACGCGGTTCATGTCACGGAGGCGCTTGACGGCCACGGTCACGCCGTTGCGCATGGCGGCCTTGTACGCCGACCCCAGGGTGCCGTTGCCCAGCACCTCGGCGGAGGCCTTCATCAGGTCCGGCAGGCCGAACGCGGGGATGTCCTCGTTCAGGAGGACGAACTCGCCCATCCGCCGGCCGCTGCTGCCGCCGTGGCTGGACGACCCGCCGCCGGCCACGTCCACGGCCACCATCTCCCCGGCGCGCGGCGCCGTTGTCTTCGACCCCGCCGCCGCCGCGGACTTGCTGGAGCCGGAGCCGGAGCCTGCGCCGGCACCGGCGGCGGCCGTGCTGCCCGCGTAGTAGTCCCACGCCGGCGCGGCGCTGTTCCTCTCGTCCTGCCGCAGCATGAGCACCATGGCGCCGATGACCAGCAGGATGACGAGCAGGATGATGCCGATGACGACGAACACGCTGGTCTCCTCCTCCATGGCCATGTAGTCGGCCGCCGTGGGCGGCGGCATCGCGGGCGGGAGCGCCGGGCCGGCAGCCACGCACACCGCGGCGTCGCTGCCCGGCGAGCCGCACAGCCCGGGGTTCCCGGCGAACGACGACGCCTCGTAGCGCTCGGCGACGCTCTGCGGGATGGAGCCGCTGAGGCGGTTGTGGGACACGTTGAACCGCTTTAGCGACTCCGGCAGCTTGAGCGGAATCAGCCCGTCGATCTGGTTGCGGTCCAGGTGGAGCTCGATGAGGCGCGGCGCGCTCGCGATCGCGTCGGCGGGGAGCGGGCCCGTGATGCGGTTGTTGTCGAGGTAGAGCTTCTTGAGCCACCGCATGTTGGCGAACACGTCGGCGGGGATCGGCCCGGAGAAGTTGTTGGAGGAGAGGTACAGCGCGCGGAGGCCACGCAACGTGCCGAGGCTCGCCGGCAGCGGGCCGGAGAGCGCGTTGTGCTTGAGGTTCACGGAGTGGAGCCGCGGGAGCTTGGCGATGGCGCCGAAGTCGAACGTGCCGGACAGGTTCATGTGCGTGAGCCGGATGCCGACGAGGCTGCCCTTGTAGCACTGCACCCCGGGCCAGGGGCTCGCGGCGTCGCACGGCGGGAACGGCGACGTCGCCGACCACGCCTCCAGCCTGCCGGTCGGGTCTGTGAACGACTTCTTGAGATTTACGAGCGCCGCCCCTGCCTCCGACACGTTGCCATTGTCGGCAGCGGCAGTGGCGGCAAGGAGGAGGAGGAAGAGAGGTGGGAGCCGAAAGGCGAGGAGGGTGACCATGACCGGGTGTGGTGGTGGTCAGAGCCTGTCCTCTACCTTTCTTCCAGCTCTCTTCTCGGACGACGGATGGTCCCTTCCCTGCCTGCCTTTCGTGGCGCTGCTTCGCCCTGGTTTTTGTCAACGCCTCTTCTGCTGCTCCAGTGGTTGCGCAGGCGGATCTGGGACTGGGACCCAAAAATAGGGTGCCCCACAGCTGAGACGGCAAGCGACCAACGGGAGAAGACGATGCAATGCGATGCAAACAGCCGAGGCGTTCCAGCTTCTTCAGAAATCAGAGCAGGTGTGGAAAGCAATGGGACAAAGGTTGGATTACAGCAGAGGATGGCCTAAACGGCTAAACCTCGCTTTTCTCCCTGGCAGGTACAAATGATTCCTGGTTTTGTAGACAGGACTAAATATAGTCAGGGTGCAAGATAAGCAAGGATTAAATTAGTAAACTGAAACAGCTTCATGTTCATTGCTGCATTGCATGAATATAACATGCTACAAATCAAATGCAGATTTAACCATTCACCTGAGGAAAGGTAATGTTTTGAGGGATGTTTACCTTTATTTATTAGGCATTCTATATGTGTTATTTTCATAACCACAACCAATAAGCTTTTTAAAAAATATATATATATTCTTAGAAGAACCATAGGTAACCTAATAAGTATGCCTGCAGCAATATTATTTGGCTCTTAGAAATGAATCTTGTTCTCAAGAATTTCTTCTTGTACATCTAAAGACAATAAAACAAAACACTACAAACACTGCTACCAATCTATGTACAAGAAAAGGGTAAACCACTCCTTACACTATCACCAATCCTCCTAACTAGCAAACAAAATTTCAACATCCAAAGCTACATTTGTCATATGTACACACATCATCCATCAGCGCTCAGCCTGGGCTACCTTGAGTCCTGGACAACCTACTGTACATACTCCTGCCTTGAAAGTTTGAATAGCTCTGCAACTAGCTCCAAGTTGAGCATCTTCGTCTCTGGTATCCGATAGTAGAACAGAAAAAGTGGAGCACAGCACACAAGTGCATAGATCCCGCATGCTCCGCCAAGCCCGATGGTGCTCATCATCACCGGGAAGCAGTATGCTGAAAGCAGGCCCCCAAACCAGAAGGAAAGCGAACAGAAACTTACACAGGTCGCACGGGCCTTGGTTGGGAATATCTCAGAGCAGAGAATGTTAGGTATTGGTCCCAAACCAACGACATAGGAGCAGAAGCAAATGGTTAATGCGAAGTGGAAGACGATGGCACGCTCGAACAATCCCACATTGAACAGGGTGGACATAGACATAACGCTCAATGATAATATAAGGATAGGAGTAGTGGCCAGCACAAGAACCCTACAAAAAAAGGTTGAGTTGTATTAATAAGTAGTTTCTATCAGGAACAGGAACAAACATGTAAAAAAGAATTAACTAAAATGAATATTTACTTCAAAATCATGATCACTACATCAATGTTTTCAAGTCGTCCGATTAATCGTGATTAATCGCGACTAATCATCCTTATCGGTCCTTAGTGACCAATTTGGGGTACCGAGGCAACCAGCTCGATCAGAAAGCTGGTCGTCCGATTAATCGAAGAGTAATCGCGATTAATCGTCCGACTAGGGCAGGGACGACTAGTTTGGTTGCTCTGTTTTTTGGGCCTGTTTAACCAGGCCTATATGTGGCCTATTGGGCTTGCAATTTGGAGATGGAGATGGAGGCTTCAATTTTAATGTTGATTTGCTTAATTAGATGGCTAGTTGCCTACTTTTGTTTGGACTGTTAAATGTCAATGTTTGTGACTCTGTGTTGAACACTTTAGCTTATGTGTACTGAACTTGTTTGGTTATGTAATATGCTGGCTGTGTGGCTGCTATGGTCTGCTATGTGCTAACTGCTAAATGCTAGTTCTTTGCTACTGCGGCAGTGCTTGCTAATGCAGCAGTGCTGCTGTTGAGCTGTGTCAAGATCAAGACTACATTAGTGTTGTTAATAATGGTCTTCTTTGGTATTTTAGGCTCCCAGCAGCAAGTCAGCAAAGAAATGGAGTTTGGGACAGGAATATGGACCTCTGAACATGGCAGAAAAGAGAAGAAAACAACTCCCACAAGTAAGTCACCAGCTAAACACTAATGTAGTCTTGATGCTTGCTTTATTGTGTATACTATATAGTATATATAGGTATATATATAGTAGGTATATATGTCCTGATATATAGGATTTTACCAGGGGTCGACTAGGCTCGACTAATCGGCCTGGTCGACGACTAATCGCGATTAGTCTCCTGGTTGGTCCCATGGCGACTAGGTTAGACTGGACGACTTGAAAACATTGCACTACATGACAAACTTGTTGCTGGATAAGCCGGCAAAGCGAAATGTTGGTAGATAATGTTGGCAAGGAATTTTTTAGGATACCCAATGCAAATGAACCTAAGAAGCAGAGTGTGGAATCACAATTATACAATGTCAGAGGTGTATTGGAGTTCAGAAATGGTACAACATCTAATGCTGCTGGTGAGGCAGCAAAAGGCTATATATTGAGATCAAATGATGTATCTATGAACAGACCTTGGTCATGTGGATGCATTTCTACTAATTGTAAATCAACATTATTTTGAAATTGTAATGTTGACGGTGTCTCAGAGTTTACCTTCTTCCGCAGACATCCATCAGCAGCATTGCGGCAGTTATACAAGGGAGTATCAGCAAAGCATGAAGGGTACTTATGAGAATTGATGTTGAATGTGGGGAAAGTCCAATGTCTGAAAACAAGCTAACTCCAACCTGTTCAAGTATTTCAGGAGCACAGCGGAGAAGACCACTGATTCCTGTAGACTGTATTTTTTAGAAGAGCAAACATGAAACAAGCAAAAAAAAAAGGTGTCAGCAGACTAGCTAGCATTATATATGTATGGTAGCCAGTGCAGAAGGATTGTAAACTGAACTCCATGCTGAATGGAATATAAAATCTACAATAACACAGAATCGTACCTGCTGAAGGGCCTGAATTAACATGCCATAACACAAGGCATGCCTGATTCCTGGTTGAAGAAGCACCCGCCATTTAAACTTCATATCAGCTGTTTCAGATAGCCGGACTATTTGATGTCTGAATGGATGTCGCCCTGTGCTTTCCATATCACGAGGTGCAGACTGGTGAGGTGATACGAACCCATGAATTTCTTCTTCTTCAATGTCATAATCATGTATAGACGCCATAAACTCTTGCGCAAGTACTGATGTTCCATGCCTTCTTAAATATGAAGAGCTCCCTTCAGATGTAAAAGAGGTATTTGTATCATTTACTTCAACACTTGCTGCCTGAGAAACAAGAGAAGCCCGCAAACCATCTCCATTGTTAACTTCTCCAGCAGAATAAGCCCCCCTAGTCTGTTGATCACTGTTACCATCCCTGTGCTCATTCATATGTTCATGTTCTGGAAAAGAAAAACTGTTGAAGACTGGGAAGAAACTATTCCGTCTACTTCCTCCTTCTGACATATTCTCATGAATGCTTCCGAGAAGATCAACTAGTGGGTCCGAAAGCTGCCAGTAAAAAGTACTACGGGGCCAAGTGTGGCTAGCACTGGTTCCAGAGAAACTTTGAGCACGAGCAGTGCCAACAGCAGAGTCCGATATGATGTCCACACCTTCCACAATAACAGCGATCTCTCCTGCAGGTCTATGTGATGTCATGATGCATTTATGCTTCTTTATTTTCGACAAAAATAGAAATGAACAAGTGATTGGCTCAATTTATCAAAACAAGACAGTCTGTTAATGCATCATGTGTAATTAAAGCACCATCAACCCCCAATCATATTGACATATTGTTGTCAGTACTTCATCAGCTTGTCTCACAGCATTTAACTGTAAAACAAAACCGTCATCCAATTGTTCAATCTCTATGTTAAGTATGTAATGTCAAATGCTGCTTATGTTTACAATTTTACAGCATATAGGTTCTAGGACATGAATAAGAGGACTGAATTAGTTCCCATTCAGTTCTTGAATATGAAGTCATGTATTACTAGGCTATATATTACTTACTCCTCCCATTCCAAATTATAAGACGCTTTGGCTTTTTTAGATACATAACTTTTGTTATGCACCTAGATATACACTATGTCTAGATACATAGTAAAAGTAATATATCTAGAAAAGCTAAAACGCCTTACAATTTGGGGTGGAGGGAGTACATAGTTCTAGTATCTTCTATGTTAGGAGGCCTTTTTTTTGTAATGTAAGAGGTTCAATTAGCACCTCCAATGACAAGCTGAAATCAAAAGATCATGTATCTTCATTTCTCATAGTTCTGATTGCATGAACACCAGACAAAGAAAGAGGTGGACGGAACAGCACCATCACCCATTAAATGCCACAAAATCAGGTTCATGATCCCGCAATTCAGCTGATAACAGTAATATTTCCAAAACTGCAAATTTAGTTTGTATGATCATGCTGTCAGACATTGGTTACAACTTTACATTTCTCAAGTCTCCACAATAACTACATTTATTTACTCAGTTCCCTACTAATCAAGACCAAACTATCTTCAGATGAATTAGTAGCTTGTGAATAAATCCGGAAGCATTGTCAAGTGTCAACAATCTCACCTGAAACATCATGTTTCTTCCCCCTAAGCCACTGCAGAGAAACTCTGGCCTCACTAATCTTTTTCCGTCACTTGCAAGCCACCTAGGTGACTCTGGCAAGTAGTAAACCAACAAAGCAAAGTAGACAATGGAAGGAGCAAAGATTGCACCAATCATGATTCTCCAGTTAGGTGAAGACATTAGTGTTAACCAGAATATCAGGCAATATGAAAAGATAGTTCCTAGGAAGAACATAAACTGTGGCATAGTTCCAAGTAATCCCCTCATATTTGGAGGAGATGTTTCCGATATATAAATAGGGACACAGGTGAAAACCAACCCACTTCCTGATCCAACAATTAACCTAGCTAGAAGTACAATGTAGATGTTAGGAGACCACAGCATCAGGACACCACCCGAAAACAATACCAGAGATGAGTAAACCAGTATGGCACGCCTTCCAAGCCAATCTAATAGTGCTCCAGAGAATATTGTTATCACAATAGCCCCAAATGTTGAGGCTGCTAAAGTTATACCTTCAATAGAAGGTCCATTCAACAATTCAAATTCTTTTTCCATATGATGATTAGCTTCTGTCAGATAATAAAAATCAAGGTTAGTATGATTGTCAGATAGTTGAGATCTTTAATGGAGGTAATTAATGTATAATTACAATCAATAGAGCAAAGAAAAAAAATACCTAATAATGCTGCAAAATCCCATCCAAGCAATGCATACCCAATAGAAACAACAACTGCCGAAAACACTGTTGACTTCATCTCATCAAGTACTATAGCCCTTTTGCAAACAATTATAAAACCTAGACAGTATGAAACCTGTGAGAAAATTTGCTTAAAAATAGAATTCAATGAAGTTAATTTTTTTATGGTAACCAATTGAACTTCTCATCTCAGAGTTAGACAAACAGTTAAACACAAGCCAGTCTATAAACCCATCGGTCACTACACCAGTTATGTTACAACATATGAACCTCTCATTTGTTTTAAAATTAGCCGGTTAATGCATTAGCTATGTCATAAACTTATGTGCCATAATTGCTTCATTTGCTATGTTTTTTATAAGAAACTTTAGATACTTCTCCATAGTGTTCAGTTTACTTCTCGCAAATGGTTACAATATTTGATTCCATCTATAGTGAAAGCATATTCGATTGATACTGGAAACAGGGACAGGGCTACAGGGTGGTTCCTGTGGGCCATGGACCACCCTGCACTCTGTCCTAAAAGCTCATAGGATTTAGGAATTCTAATTCTGTTTCCAAATCCACCGTGATGCTTCCGCTTCCACCTTCGTAGGCATGGTTGGTCCCAGCAGCCAGTCGCCTGCGCCCCTTCCTATTCGTTGCTCCGTGCGACCTATTAGCTCCTCTGTGCGACCATCTGTGCCCCTTTGTATTCATCCACACCCAACGGGCAACGGCTGCACACGCCGGCAGCGGCATCGGGCGGTGAAGTACACCTGAGAACTCAGGCCTCAGGTATGCCTCACAGCCAATCAACCTGCTTGCCTATTGCCTATTGCCTATGAATGAACTTTTAATTTGAAAAAAGAAAACCTAAAATCTTCACTTGGCGCTATCCTATATAGGTGCAAGAGCACAGCCACACTCACAAACTGCTCCTGCAAACCAGAAATACATTTTTACAAACTTCCTAGTGGACGGTTGAAACCTAAAGAAAATGGTGAGTATCTGTCTGATCCATTCTAATGCTAATCGTATCTAGTTGTGTATATGTTCACTGACTCATGTGACTGTTCTTTACCTATTATAGATATGTAATCTTTCAATGGTACATTAATCAATCTAGACTCATCTATTCTGTGATGTTCGTATGTCCTCTAGCTTAATCGTATTGTGTTTCGTAGTTCATATATTTGTGTTCCGACATGTTATATTTATAGCGGCTAAATTTTATTTTAAACAAGGCAATGGACCACCCAGCTACAAATCCAGGCTACGCTACTGACTGGAAAAAAAGTGCTCTGAAAGGCAGCATACATGATTAAATGCACCACAAGCAGAATACTGGCATTGTTCAAATTATGTGGAAAAATATCCTGCCTTGACAGTTCAGTTATCCAATTGTGTTATAATTCAGTTAGCAGTAGACCACATTCAAGATGGAACCAGATGCAAATGAATAAACAATAAAAGAGGCATATGACACGAATGCGTCCAGGGAGCATCTGAGTGAAGTTTTTCATTGTATTACAGAGTACTCAAACTCTAAATGACTAGGTGTCCGTCAAAGAATCCTCATCTCACATTTGTCAATTGTAAAATCCTTATCCCACCTCAGCTGCCATTATCCTGTGGCCACAACCCAGCACTGCCACCTCCTCTAACTTGCCACCATTACGCCACTGTACATCTCCTTCAGCTCCAGTGGCACCACCCATCAGATCGCCAGCCCCCACTGCCACAGCACCACCTAACTTGGACATTCAATTTGCAGTGTATCGTGCTCATCAATGCTTGCCAGTATCATGCAGCACCGGACCATTTCCCACAGCAGGATGGCCCCTTGCCCCTTCTCAATCTATAGTCAGGGCTCTGCCCTGGTGAACCCAAACAAAAATAAAGAAGGTTCATATGCAAGTTCACATAACCCAAATACACACACAAACATGAATATACCCTACATCATCATGGTGATCCCCAACTCTAAAAGCCCCCATCAATTCCAGGACACTACTGTCAAGTGCAATCGCAAACCTTCCATGTTTGCATTAGCTCTCTTGACTGAAGGGTCTGTTGATTTTAAATAAGAGATGTATTAAATTACCAGATATAGACGGCTCACATGCTTGTGTTTTCTCCAGCTATTGTTGCCTAAACAGATTATTTATACAGCTGTTAGCCAATTTCAACCCTAGAAATGAGGCCGTCACAAGGATATAGGAGCATGACTGATCCATTGCAGCACTTTGTTTTTCTGATTGTTTATCCTTTTTGCAATGTTTAGCTCACAAAGCGCAAAGCCACAACAGGTCAACAGCTAAAATGGTCCCAACAATCAGTAAAATATCGCTGACCCAACCAACCCTGCAGAGCATTGAGGTGAAGTAATATGCAACAAACATTAGGTGAAGTAGCATTTTTTTGCTTGTGAAATCGAAGACTGGTTAAAAATATCTGGAATGGGAACAACTTTGTCTATTTGTGGAAGTATGCAACCTCTCAAAAGTCAAAACAAAATGAAAATAACACCCCACGGATTAGTGGAAAGATATGGCCTTCCAATAATAGGGGTTCAATTAAAGACACACTACAATTAAGTAGCATTAGTAACTATCACGAGCAACGGTAAACCAACCAAATTCAATGTTGCCAATTGTATTTCAAATATGAACCATCAGCATTGTCCACAAGTAATGCTCTGAACTATCTCCCATCTCTTTAAAACAATAGTTACCTGATCTTTACAGAAATCAACTCGATAATATGACCCCACATTCAAGCAGAATTTACCAACAAAAGTAAAATCAAATATCCTGGCAAAAAACGGAGATAGAACTAGTACGGTACAGAAACACTTGAGAAACCCAACCCGAGCTATCCAACTAATGTCAGCTGCTTGGCCAATCTCACATCATGTACAGTTATTCGTTCTTAACCTCAATCATATGACTTGAGAAATCATGTGTGGTTTCACCATTTTCTTCCATCAATGTCAGCAGAAGCACATGGGCGCAACTTACAGAAATCCACAAACTTACAGTACAGGTAGACATAGTGTGCACTGACCATACATGGATACGTGCCGCTATAATTCCCAATTGGAAACACAAGGTTCATCCAGAAGCACGAAAGGCCAACTAGTTTCACCGATATGGGCAGGCAGCCCCAAAAGCCAATCCATATCAGCAGGGGCGGATCCAGTAAAGGGACATGGGTGTACACATGTGCACCCAATAATTTTTGCAAAAACTTCGAAGTTAGGAGGCTTGTCAAATAGCTAAATAGCTTTAGGTTAGGGTTTCGGTGCTCAGCTTCGCACAGCATAAGGGAAGGGAAGAGAAGGGGTGGGAGTACCTGGTGGGTGCTCGTCGCCGGCGAAGAGGCCAACGAAAGCCTCAGCACCTGGCCTAGGGCGGCGGCGGCCCGACAGTCGCCTGAGAGCGAGAGGGTAGCGAGCGAGAGAGAGACAGAACGAGGAGGGAAGAGGGATGCAGATGCAGCGGACGGAAGGGGAAGCAGGCATCGACGGCGGAAAAAAAAAAAACGCACGGGCTTCTTGTGGGCCGTTTTTTCAGTTTCGCTGAAAATTTCTATTTTTTTATTTTTCTTTCTCTCCCTTTTAATAATTTTTTATTCTTATTGATTTCATATATCTATTCTCTACATTGAACACTATCAATGGCTAGTACAACATTTGTTTAAAATAACATAACAGAAATTTCATATCTATTCTCTTCATTGGACACTATCACTGGCCAGTAAATATATAGTACATTGTAAATAAGTAAATGGAACTTTTTATATTTTATTAAGGTTGAGTATTTTTCTATTGAAGCTAGAAGCTATTTTCAGAAGAACAAATACCAATTTCACAAACCAAGAAGCTATAACAACATTTTTATAAAATAAAAACAATTTTCTCTTTGTGACAATTTCCCAAGTGAATATTAAATATTTTTGTGCTAAACATGAATGAAGCAATAGTTCCCATGAATTAGGAACATTGCTATCATCAATAAAAAATGGTATGAACTCATTAAAAAAATTCATGCTCCAACAAAAACTAATAAAGAGTATTGACACTTCAATATCTCATGAAAAAATTGAGTCTTCCTAGCACTCTTTTTTCATTCTATAATTTACAAATGATTTTTATGCTGCAACAGGGTTAAAGATTAGGTTGCAAAATACTTTCATTTGTTAGAATTGTCACACTTTATCAACCTTAAACAAATCTGGCTAAGCGAGTGTTTATTATCCACAAGGCACAAAGACAGTAGAATCACATAGTAGCGTTAAGTCCATTGAAAAGCTCCAACAAAAAACAAAGGTATACCAGTTGAAAAGATAGACATCACTATGAGGCAAGAGCAAAAGAAGGCTTTTTGACATGACAGGATAGGAATAGAAATAGTTTGACCATAAAAACAATTATGCATTCGAAAAAAGTATTGTACAAATAACAATACTGCATAATTATTAATAAATTAGGAATGTTGCCACTCTTACATGACACTAGTTGTCCTTTATGGAAAAAATGGTTTTTTCTTACAGGTAGAACATTTTTTTACTAACCCCTTTGTAGTAAAATATATTTTTGGGTTAGAAACAACTTCTAGAGTAGAAAAAGCAATATTTTATTAAAAGGAAAGAAATATTATCATAGTAGAAAAAATGTTAGGGGGTGTGACATTGAAAGGATCTAACAATACCTAGAGGGGGGTGAATAGGCGTATCTAAAAATTAACTGCAAATGCTAAGTTCAAATTTGTCAGTCAATGTCGGAAGTCCTGACAGTTTGGGTTGGAACTCCCGACATCGTCAGAACTTCCGGCACAAACGTCAAAAGTCCCGACGCCTACGTGAACTATAAAAGCAGTGTCAAATTTAACTTTGCGGATGAATAATCTTACAACACCACGTCCTAGTGGTTTGGTGAAGATGTTGACTCACTCCCTTGACGTCGAAATGCCTCTAAACCGTAAATCGAGTCCAAACCCTAAAATGAAGTTCGGAAGAGAAATAGAGACAAACAAATATAAGTAATCTCGAGCAAACACAACAACAAGCACATGGGACACAAGGATTTATCCCAAGATTCGGTAACCCCACAAAGGAGCTCCTACGTCCTCGTTGTTGAGGTGACCATAAAGGTCGGAGTCTCTTTCACCTCTTTGCCTCTCTCAAAACAACCACAAAGGTCACTTGAGCTTTCCACTAAGAAATCAAGAGTAATACAAAATTCCCAAGGTTTTTCCACAAGATGGAAGCTCTTGGGCAACGCCTAGCCAGCTAGAAGCAATGCCCTAAGAGTATAGATGCAAATCCAACCGGCTTGATAAAGAAATCAAGTGTTCAAGCTTGCCAAAGCGATTCTCTCACTTAATCCACTCTCCTTTCACTCAAAACCCTAGGGGAATCGAAGATTGGAGCAAAGAGGAGAGGAGAGGGGTGCTTTGGTTACTTGGGAGCTGTTGTGGATGAAGGTTGGTGAGCTATGAATGAGTCCGTAACGGTTAGAAGTGAAGAGAGGGCTATTTATACTCATAATAGAAATCTAACTGTTCAGATCTATGTCGGAAGTTCTGACGCAGATCTCGGGACTTCTGACCTTAACAGAAAACACTTTCATGCAGGGTCAAAGTTCGCACGAGCAAGTCAATGTTGGAACTCCCGACAAACGATGGGACTTCCGACGTGCGTAGACAGCCAACCAGCAAAACCCCAGGTGTCGGGACTCCCGGCATGGGTTGGGACTTCCGACCGTCAGGAGTTTCAACTCATGTCGAGACTTCCGACGGCCACAGTCACCGCGCAGGCTAAGTGACTAGGCGTCAGGACTTCCGGCATGAGTCATGACTTCCGACGGTCAGGAGTTCTGACTTACGTCGGGACTTCCGACACCAACAGTCACCGAAAAATATTTTACGTGCTCGTGGAGTGCTAGAGTGTCTCTCTTTTGATTTTATTTTTATGCTTGAGCACTCTATCTTCCTCAGACCAACTAAGTTTGCATCCCTCTTTATAGTGCGGCAGATCTTAAACTCAAAAACAAAAATAAAACTTTTGGAGAGCGCTTTGAGTTCGTCCGCCTTTACAACTTCAAGAATTGATGGATACCATTTCATCTTTATCAACTCTTTGAATCTTTCATGGGACTAATAGCTGCGACATATCTCATTAATATCATATTAGTCCCTAATTTGGATGTCATCAATACACCAAAACCCACATAGGGGGCAAATGCACTTTCAATTTCCCCCTTTTTGGTAATTGATGACAACCAACTTAGGCTTTTATAAGAATGAAAGAATTTAAAGCTTTTGAAACCCAAAATTTATGAAGAGCTCCCCCTTGATGTATACATGAATTTGAATTTCAAATAGAATCATCTATACATGATTTGCATACATCAAGACAAAAGCTCTCCCTAAATTTTGTAATCCGTGGGGTGCGACATGTGTGTGTGAACAAATATATATCCATAAAAAGAGATGCAATATGACATGTTATTTCACACAACAAGTAAAAGAGAATATGATGGCCAAGATTTCAAAGTAGAAACTTGAAGCAACACATGGGCATCCAAAATACATCCACCATCACAAGTAGAGACAAGCACAAGCTAATAAGGTAGATAGATAACCATTACTTGTCCTACAATCATGCATCACAAACACATATATATATAGTTGTTCATCACATACTATCCACCATATATAGTTCATACAAGCTAAAGGTTTTAAAGTCTCGAAACTAAATGACCAACTAACTTATTTACAAGATAGATCAAAGCCTAACACTCTCCCTTTGTCAACAAGTGTCAAAAGGGGTAGGCCACGTGAAGAACCGACTACTCGTCCTCGTAGTCCTCATCATCATTTTGGTCACCATTATCACCACCATCGTCGTCTTCGGCATCATCATCTTCCTCCATGTAGTCCTCATCTTCTTCAATAGCCTTGCTCTTGCCATGGGGGCGAGAAGCAGCAGCATCCTCATATGCCGCACAAGCCTCATCATAGAGTGCCAAAGGATCAC